ACCATGTTGACTTTCATGCTGAAAAATAGTGATGAGTTAATGACTGGTTTGAAAATGAAATTGCTCAAGTACGGCCAAGTTTTGGTTAAAATCATTACATAATTTCATTTTGTAGTCGCTTCAATTAACGTTACTCAAGATCTTTATTAAATCAATTGCTGTCACTTATACAGTCCGTTTTTCCTTATTAGCTATCATTCCAAATTTCGCCAACTTGCTAAAGTTCATAATCAATTGTAAAGATAAACACGAGTACCTGCATATCTAGTTGTCATTTTCCATAGAATGTAGTTATTATTATGAAAGGTTTTGTAGAACTGTAGACAAATATCTGTTATATAACATATATATAACATAACAATTGGTTATTTGGCCGTAACATATATAAGCATATAAGCATGCTACAAATTTTTGATAGCAGACTCTACCCTAAATTACAATGACTTGATGGACATTACTCAAGGTATTAAAGTAGAATAAGTATTGCCAGTTTTAACTTATTACAGATCGTCAACTTGCCAAGAGGATGACCAAAAACACAAGGAATTACTAAACTATAATTGACTAGTACAATAGACGAGTGGATATTTTGCAAGGACAAGATAGAGAAGCAAGAATGAGATACTCGATTTGATCACAAAGTCTTGGGTGGGCTATGCGCCTTGCTGACGAAGATTGACCTAGAAGAAAATACTGACTGACTAGCACATGGCAAGTTGTTCAATAAACTGAATTACAATCAAATGACTCATTACATATTATGACTATCATCCATGCCATTGCTTTTCACTTTCATTACTCTAGTGCAAGGATTACTTAAATATAGTATAATCAAAGCCGTCTGTATTCTTGAATCAACTATTGATCAACTAACATTTTCCTGTTGTCTGATCGTGTGACAAGTACGCGTACTTGTGATGATAGGTGATCAAATTCAATCTTATACTAGTCTATCGATGGGGCAGAAATAGGACAATCATCCATGATTCCTGTTTGACATAATCATTTTGTTAGATCAATCACTGTATCATTAAGTGAGTGGGCAAGATTGGAACGAAATGAAAGACGTCTAATAGGACTACCGTCATTAAATTAGAGTCAGTAGTGAAATACTGGCATTCGATTTTTATGCAGGCCCATGATGACTAGAATTGGATGGAGTTTTACATCATCATTTAAGCAGATCATGACTGTATGATTAGGTTAGAATCGGCAAGAACTAGACGAAAGTTTTACATTATCATTTCAGTAGATCATTGACTGTATGATTAAGTTACTGTAGAGTCGGCTAGACGATAACACAAATTGGATCGAGTTTTACATCATCATTTCGTTAGATCAATGACTGTATGGTTAGATTAGAGTCTGCAAAACGATGACTAAAATTGGATAAAGTTTTACATGATCATTATAGTAGATCAATGACTGTATGATTAGGTTAGAGTCAGCAGGACGATGACTAGAATTGGATAAAGTTTTACATGATCATTTTAGTAGATCAATCGCTGTTTAATTAAGTCAGAGTTGGCAAGATAGGATCAACGTTGCATTTCTTCCTTGTAAGACGTCCAGCAGAACCACCTTAATTCAATTAGAGTCAATCATGAAATGCTCGCCTCTTGTATTATAGAAACCGATGATCATTAGAATAGATGGAGTTGTAGGGGTCCATTTTAGTAGATCAATCGTGATTGGGTGGATAGGAAATTGGCAAGATTTTAGTAATACTACGAGTGATTATTCGATATATATTTGAACGAGAATAAGATGGAGGGCCGCAAGCATCAGGTGTTATGGAGATCAACTTGGGATCAAAGCGTAGCAGCAGGATATTTTTTATCGTCGTCTTAATTCTCCACTGTGTGATCTATTCAATCAGACTAAGCATTAATTCAACAGATTTAATAAAACGTTCCCTCGATTTCAACATTCAATAATCCTTGTTTAGCGGCTATTGCCATCATTGAGCTTAATTACCCCAACATCAAATCTAATTAGACTGAGCTGCATTTACTCCTCAATTGGTGTTGACTAATTTTGAATCATGATTAGACTACTGTTATAGACTACAGCCTATCCTTAACTCAAACTATCCACTAGGCTATAGCCACT